CCCCCCCCCTGCCATACACCCCGCGGCTTCCGCACCACCAGGCACACGGACGCACAGGACAGAAGGACAAAACAAACAGCGGGGATCAAAATGAAACGGCGCCAGGCTGTCTGGACACAGGTTATTGCAACAGGACGCCCCTCCCCGGGCTTCCCTGGCATCACATGCATCTCCCCATGGCAGCCCCAGCATGGCGGGCACCGCTGGAGGGGCAAGGACAGGCCACACTCAGCTCCCGGGGTGCCCTGCTTCCCCCACCCCCCCCAACTGCAAATGCAATCAGGGGTGCCCACACCCCCTTCCCGGGCCAGGAGCAAATGCTGCCCCTGCCTATAGCCACGAACTGCAGCAGGATCAATACTTGCAAGGGGTAAATGTCCCCGAGCTCTGCTGCTACCCCAGCCCAGCAGCTCCCTCCCACCCATGGCTGGGGATACAGATGTGCATCAGTGCTTCCAGCCCAAGATAAGCCCAACGCCAGCAACTGCAGCAGAAGGACACGGCCGAAGCAGTTATCATACGGGCAACTGCTCCATCCCACAGCCCTGGAGACAGCGTGCCCAGCCCCAGTGCCCAGTCTGTCTGGAAAGGGCCCATGCCCGTCACAGGGGAGAGTCCTGGGGCTCTGGCAGGGTGCTGCCCCTGCGGGGAGAGAAGCGCAGGCATATTCACCTTCGAGATCCAGTGGAAGGTCGTCTGCTGTTGGGCAGGGACATAGCAGAGGCGCGGCTGGTCCTGGCCGTGGGGAGAACTGGCACACCGGCTAGACGGGGAGAGAGGACACAGTGTGAGCACGGCAGCAGGACGAGCGATGTGGTGGCACTGGAAGGGGGTCCTGGCTGCAGGGCTCCCGCGATGCCACGTGCAGCACCGAGCACGGGACAGCCCCGGTGCCAGAGTAGAGACTGGCACGGGAGGTGCACGGGGGAGACTGTGGTGCCCGACGGGCTCTATGGGCAGTCAGCAGGGGATGCAGAGGGTTAATAGGAGGGGGCACGATGTGCTTGCAGGGTCAGGGTGGGAGGTCCTGGGTCCTTAGTAGTTTCCTGGGTCCAGGCATGAGCCTTGCTTGTCCCCATGACATCTCTAACTCCCTCCCGCAGTCTTGCATCTCTTCCTCACCCTGGGGAAGCCCAAAGGGGTCTAGACTGACCCCCTCCTCAGCACCTGGGGATGCTGGGCTGGAAGGAGCCCCCCAGTGCCATGCCCTGTCAGCCACAGGACGCAGGGGGTTCATAGTGGCAGCAAGGAAAGGCAGGACTTTCACCTGCCCTGGGTCTCTCCCTCCAAGCTCTGAACGTGGGGGTCCAGCCAGTGCCCTGGGGGGCAAAGCTTTTCACCCCCTGCCCCTGGCTTGACTTGTCCTCCCACCTACCCTCCCTCCCAGTTGCAAGCACGCAGCGTGGGCATGCACTCTCCATCCCGTGCCTCCCCCACCTTGCAGAGACCCAGGGCTCTCCGGCCAGGCTTCCTTCCAGCAGGTTGGATTTTAATCGGCTGCAATAAATCGTCGCTCTCTAGGAATCCACTGGCTACTTCCCCCTCCGCGAGGCTCCCGCGCCAGGTGAGGTCACTCCAGGCAAGAAGGCAGAAGACGAGATCCTCAGGGGTTACAAAGCCACGGTGATGGGCAGAAGTGCACCTCGCACTAGCATGAGCATGCATAATTACTGCCATTAGGGCCACGGTAAATATTTATAGGCATAAGGAAAGCTTTCCACGAGGGCAGCAGGAAATCCAAGAGGAGCTGGCCGCAGCCCAGGTGGGGAGACCGCTCCGGGGCCCAGATCTTCTGTTGTGAACGGGGAGCCTTCCCCACGCAGAAGAAACCAGACGTCTGCTCTGAACTGCAAGGGCAAGACTGGGGGCTCTGCATGCGCTTGTGCTTCCAGGCAAGGCTTTGCACCCCACCGAGGCTCGTTTTCGCTGCATTTCCCAGAGCCCCCGAGGCTCTCTGCAAGCATCCGCCCCTTGGCTTTCCTCAGCCGAGCACTCGACTCTGCCTGAAGCATGTCCTCCTTGCAAATGCCGGGCGTTTCTGGTGGCAGCTTGCATGAAAGACGTTTTATTGTCGCCGTGGCACGGAGCCCAAGCACAGCGGGCCGCAGCCACTGCTCTGTCAGACACCAGCACAAGGGCCAGGGAGGGAGTGGAGAGGGTTCAAAGAGCCAGAGCCACCTCCGCGGGTGCTGAGTGCCCACGATGCCAGCCAGGGACACTCGGGGGGGGACCGAGCGCGGCGGCAGAGATCTGAGAGGGGCAGAAGGAGCCGCAGAGCAAGGGGGCAGAGAAGGGACGCAGCCGGAGTCCGAGGACTCGCCCGCCCCAGAGCCAGAGGTCTTGGGGAAGGAGCCAACGGTGGCACCGCAGCCTCTTGCACCAACCCAGCTAGGATGGTGGCACCTGAAATGAACTCTTTAAAAGATGCACGTTTGTGTCTCTGCTGCACAGCCTGGACCGGACGCCACAAGGTCTCAGTCGTGCAGCCAGCGAGGCTACCAGCCCCGTCCTGGCACCCAGAAGGCAGGGCCCTGCAAGACACCAGCCTGTCCACCCACCTGCTGACTCCGTCCAGTGCATGTCCAGGCCGCCGGGCATCGAGTGCAGCTGTGCTGCATGGCCCCGCGGGCTCCGAAAGTGCAGGAGCTGATTGCTTCAGGAAGCTGAATCCTTCCCTGCTCATGGACCGTTTCCAAATTGGGGCCCAGACGCATGGGGATCTGAGCAGCCGGCCTCTGCCTTCTCCGCTGCTACCTGGAGACCTGAGAAGATGCATTTCTTGCAAGCATCCCAACGTGGGGCTTTGCGGGTGTCGTGCTGGAGCCGGGAAATGCCGTAGCTAAGAGGACTCACAACAACTTTAGGAGTTGGGCAGTTTCCATACTCTTCTCTGCTCCAGGTCTTGTTCTTCTGCGAGCCACCCTAAAATGCATGCTTTGTGGGGACGGGAGAATGCCAGCCCGGGCTTGGGATGCACCTGCCGACGCGGCACTGAACTCCTTGTTGCATTCATGAGAAAGGATGCCCTCTCCTCGTGCCCCTGGCGACCCAACAGTGGCTGGAACCGGATGCCCGGCCAGGCCCCTGCCCGCCCTCTTCGGCACCGGCTACCAGCACCGCACAAAAATCAGAGCAGGCCTCTGGTTTGCTGAAAGTCATTTGAGGAAGTTGTCACGGCAACCAGGAGGAGGTTTAAGGGATCACAAATCATCTTATCCTGCTGCAGAGAGACCAGGAATGGAGCCCGCTACCCGACCCGACCCCCAGAAGAAGGAGCTGATGCAAGTCAGGTGTGAACTTCAAGGTGGCTGAGGCTGTGTGGAAACAGATGCCACGACATGCATGGCAGACCGGGGCCGAGCTGGGTGACTGGCGTGCTGCAGGGTCATGGATGCATGGGGAGAATTGGATCTCAGCACCCTTGCACTGGGCTGCTGACGTCCTATTTCGGTTCGCTCCATCCCGGGAGGCTCCAAGGCCACCAGTCCATCACGCCAGCCCGGCCCCGCGACAGGGAAGGACTGTCTGTCCCAACCACAGGCCACCAGCTAAGCGAGCCGTGC